GCGGAAACATCCCCACCAGCAGGAACTTTCCTGTTTTCTCATCTGGCCCGCCATCACCAATGGACTTTCCTGCTCCCCTTCAGCATTTGGCCGCCGGCCAAAGTTGAACAGAAACAGTGAACTTCATTTGCCAGACAGGGACCCATGGTGACCACCTATTGGACATTGGCCCTTTAAGAATGAGCAGCACCCACCCTGGGCATGACTCCCTCGGCCTCTGACCAGACTGAGGGACCTCACCCGAGAGCATTTTTTTGCAGAATAAATTTTACTGGTTTTATTAAACTCCAAAGCCTGACTCTGGTATTTTTGTCTTTGCTGCCCTGACTTCGCTGCTGCTCCCAAATCAAATCTACCATCTGGTGCCAAAACCCAGGAGGGGCTAAATGCCTCTTAGTTAGAGCTACTCCATTGGACCTCTCACACAGTCATCCAGCTGAGAAGGTAAGTGACCCAACCCCCGTTTTTTGGACCTCCAGAGTGTTCCTGTTTGTAGTCATGGCTGTGCCAGGAACACTCCCCATCCATTCTGGGTGCCCAAGGGTACCCTAAGAATTGTCTCATCTTGGGGACGCCTAGTCAATACTTTCCTTTACCTTCCTATCTGTAGAGAGATTATACCCAAGGGGGACGCCTCTTGGCTCATTCTCTCTACCTGAGGTCTAATCTGTCATGGGGTCTGCTGCCTCCAAACCTGATCCAAAAACACCTTTAGGGTGTGTCCTCCATAATTGGAAAAAGTTGGGTTATGATCAGACCAAAAATCAAAACACTGCCTGGTCTTTCTGTCGACCACGGCTTGGCCCAAATATTCACTAAACAATGGATCAGTATGGCCGCCTGAGGGCACTTTTGATTTCAATGTCTTGACTCATCTTACCAGTTTTTGTCAGAGTAAAGACAAGTGGAAGGAAATCCCATATATTCAGCCTTTTTGGTATCTGCACTCTCGTCCTCACCTCAATATTACCTGCTCTCCCTCCCATATTTCTCTTACTAAGGTGGGCGAGGGCCAAAAACCCACTCCTGGCCTTTCCACGGAAACTCCTGAACTCTCTGAATCCTCTGCTCTCACTATTCCCCCAGAATCTCTCTCCTCTCTGCCAAGACCCCCTCCTGACCTTTCCTAAACTTTCCTGAATCCTCCGCCCCTCCCCCCCACCTCCCTACTCTGAAAATCCTCCCCACCCCTCTCGGCCAACAATCCCTCTATCCTCTCCCATTGCTGGCCGACCAAGCTCTCCGCCCCATGGCTCCCTGCCAGGAAGTGGCTGGAGCTGAGGGAGTCATTCGAGTCCATGTTCCTTTTTCCCTTGCAGATCTGTCTGCCATTAAAAAGCATTTGGGCTCCTTCTCTGCTAACCCCATCCAATTTATCAAGGAATTCAGATATCTCACATAGGCCTATGACCTCACCTGGCATGACGTCCACGTAATTATGACATCCACTATGATGGCAGACGAGCATGACTGGGTACAAACAGAGGAAGAGAGTATGCTGGCAGGGCCCTCATGGTGGACGCCACCGCAATGGTAGGTGCTAAGGCAATCCCTGCCGTTAATCCCAGCTGGAGATATCAGGAAGGTGACCTTGGCCACTGGCATCGTGACTACATATTACGATGCCTTATGGCAGGGATGGAATAAGCAGCCAAAAAGGTAGTAAATTATGACAAATTGCGAGAAGTCACCCAGGGTCGAGAAGAAAATCCAACCATATTTTTGAGCCATGTCACTGAGGCTATGCAACTCTATGCCCAACTTTCCCCAGAAAATCCTGTTGGGGCAGTAGTTCTGGCCACCAATTTTATCACCCAGTCAGCCTCTGATATCAGAAAGAAACTTAAAAAGACTAAACATGGCCCTCAGACCCCCATACAAGACCTGGTGAATATGGCAATTAAAGTTTTCAATTCCCGAGAGAAGGATGCTGAAGTAGCTCTTCACAAATAGGCCAAAGAGATGGCTGCCATGCGGCTGGCACTTCAGAAGGGGGTCCCTAGACACAGTTTTCCCCTGGGAAACTGCTTCAAATGTGGCAAGCCACGCCACTGGGCCTGTGAATGCCCATTTCCCAGGCTGCCCACTAAACCCTGCCCAGGGTGTGGCAAAATGGATCCCTGGGGCTCTGACTGCCCCAAAAGAGGGAGATGAGATTCACTCCCGTTGCCTCCATGCTGAGAGGAGATCCACCACCCCGATTTTGACCTGGCCATGATGGGATTGACTGAGGGTTGACGGACCCTGGACTCGACCACCCTAATTACCCTCACCAAGCCCAGGGTCCAGCTTCAGGTAGCAGGTAAGTCATTCACTTTCCCGGTGGACACGGGGGCTACCTACTTCATCCTCCCAACATACCCTAGCCCCTGATTACCCTCCCAGGTCTCTTTTGTAGGTATTGATGGCCAGCCCTCATGTCCTCTCTCTACTGAACCCTTAGCCTGCTGCCTCGGGAAAATGTACTTTACCCACTCTTTTCTTGTCATTCCCACATGCCGCATACCCCTCCTAGGCTGTCACATCCTTACAAAGTTACACATCACCTTTCAATTTAACTCCTCCCCCTTTCTTGGCCTCCTCTACCAGGCTGCCTTTTCCCTGCCGGGCCTAATTCCCCTCCCCCACCCATCTCTCCATACCAAGTCAACCCCATAATATGGGACACTTCCTCCCTTTCTGTTGATTCTTACCATACTCCAATACTCATCAAGCTTAAAGCCCCCTCAGTCTTTCCCTCTCACCCACAGTTCCCTATCTCTAAAACTCACCAATTGGGATGCAAACTCATCGTCAGTTGACTTCTACAGCACGGCCTCCTCATCCCCATGGCTTCTCCCCACAACATTCCCATTCTTCCTGTCAAAAAGTCTAATGGTGACTACCATTTAATCCAAGACCATCGCATAATTAATTCATCTGTCATACCCCTACACCTGGTAGCACCTAACCCCTATACCCTCCTTTCACACATCCCTCCTTACATTACCCACTTTTCAGTCCTAGAACTCGAGGACGCCTTTTTCACTATTTCACTCCATTTAGACTCCTACTCCTTTTTGCTTTCACTTGGGAGGACCCAGATACTAATATCTCCCACCAGCTCACTTGGACTGTCTTGCCTCAGGGCTTTCATGACAGTCCTTACCTCTTTGGTCAGGCCCTGGTGAAGGACCTCATGGACTGTCCCCTTCATCCGTCTAAGGTCCTCCAGTATGTGGATGACCTGGTTATCTGCAGCCCCTCACTGCAGGATTCACAAGCACAGATGGCCGCCCTCCTTAATTTCCTGGTTGCCAAAGGATATCGGGCTTCCCACTCAAAGGCCCAGCTGTTTAGCCCAATGGTTCCACACCTGGGACTCCCCCTGACTCCCATGACCAGAGATCTCACGACAGACCAGCTTCAGACCATTAGGACTCTTTAGCCATCTTTCACAGCTCATGCCATCCACTCATTTTTAGGATTTGTGGGATTTTTTTAGACATTGGATTCCTAACTTTGCAGCTTTGGCTCACCCTTTATATCAGGCAGCTAAGGAATCCGCCGTAGGGGACCCTCTCTTCCCTGGGAACTGTCACTTCTTATTTCCACCGTAATTGCCAGGCTCTCCTCACATCCCCCCCACTTATCCTTGACCAACCCCATCCTCCCTTCATCCTCTTTGTGGATAAATGTTCAGGGGTGGCTGCTGGAGTCCTGGCCCACTCGATTGGTCCCACATATCACCCCATTGCCTATCTCTCTCAGCAGCTGGATGAGACGGTCCGTGGTTGGCAACTTTGCCTTTGGGTCCTGGCAGTGGCAGCCACCCTAACTAAAGAGGTTCTCAAACTCACCCTTCTCCAGCCTCTTACAGTTCTCTCTGCCCACCACTTTCAGGACCTCCTAAGTTACCGCGTCCTCCCTATCTTCTGTCCCTCAAGAATCCAGGAGATACACCTCCTCTTCATCGAAAATCCCTCCGTAACCCTCCAATGCTGCCCACCACTCAGTCCTGCCATTCTTTTTCCATTTACTCTGGCTTCCTCCTGAGGCAACACCCTGCCTCACTCCCGTCTCAATCGATCTCTCTCATCTGGCGTGTCCCAGGCTTGCAGCCATCCCTATAAGGGACCCTGTCCCTTACCTTGTTTGTAGATGAAAGTTTGCGACCAACACCCCAGGGCTCCTGGAAGTTGGTTTACACCATAGTCACTCCAGACTCCACCTTGGAGGCGGACGCTCTCCTGCTGGGAATTACGTCTCAGTGGGCTGAACTCTATGCCCTCACCAGGGCCCTGTGTCTGTCTAAGGACAAGAGGGTCAACATCTACATGGATTCCAAGTATGCCTTCCTCATTGTTCATTTTCACGTGGCCATATGGAAAGAACACAGCTTCTTTACTGCTCAGGGCTCTCCCATAATCAATGCTGATTTAATCGCTGATTTACTCCAGGCACTCCAACTCCCAGCCAAAGTAGCAATCATACATTACAAAGGATATCAAACCTCAATGGATTCCTATGGGCAATGCTAGAGCCAATTTGGTGACCAGACATCTCACCTCTAGCTCTAAACCCGTCCTATTTTTCTCCCTGACATTCAAACCTTCATATTCACAACAGGAACTCTTCCACCACCAACAGGACCTTGGAACCATCCAGTTGGATAGTGGATGGCTGTCTCTTCCTGATAGCTGACTGGTCTTAGCAGATGCCCAGCCCCTCAGCCTCCTTACCCATGTTCATAACTCCCTCCATATAGGTCCACAGCCTCTATATCGGTTCCTACAGCCACTCTTTTATCACTCTTCCCTCTGCTCCATAATCTCTGCTGTTCACAACGTCTGTTTAACTTGTGCTCCTACATAATCCCAGAGAGGACTCTATCCACAGTTCCCTACCCACCAACTCCGGGGACACATCCCTTGCAAAGACTGGCAAATTGATTTTACCCATATGCCATGACACAAACATTTTAAATACCTGCTTACTCTTGTAGATACTTTCTTGGGTTGGATAGAGGCCTTTCCTACCACCCACGAGACCGCTGATACCGTGACCAACATTCTCCTCCAGCACATCATCCCTCGCTTCAGTCTTTCGACCAGCATTCAGTCTGATAACGGCCCAGCGTTCATCTCACAAGTGACTCAGCAGGTCAGTGAAGCCTTACACATCATCTGGAGGCTCCATATTCCACACAGGATTCAGTCCTTGGGTAAAGTAGAAAGGGCCAATGCCCTGCTCAAAACACACCTTACCAAGCTTAAACTGGAACTCCACCAGGGGTGGCCTGACTTGCTCCCCATCGCACTCACCCGTCTGCGGGCAACCCCCCAAAAACCCACTGGTCTCAGCCCCTTTGAGCTGCTTTATGGCAGACCCTTTCTGATTAACCATCATCTGCCTACACAGATGTCACTCTTGGCTGACTACCTTCCCTATTTGGGCCTCCTCCAGGCTCTCCTGCAAGAACATGCTATCCGAGCCCAATTCCAGATTTCTTCTACTGAGTCTCCCACAATACTACATTCAGGGGACTTGGACTTGGTGCTCATAAAAGACCTCTCCCTGGGATCCCTACAACCTAAATGGTCAGGCTCCCACACAGTCATACTCATCACCCTGACTGCTGCTAAATTATTGGGTCAGCCCTGCTGGTACTACCTTTCTAGACTGAAGAGGGCACCCTCTCACTCCAGCTGGAAATCTACCCAACTTGGCCCCACTAGACTCCGGCTAAACAGACTCCCCAACTCTTAGAAAAAAAAATCCTTCTCCCTCATGGCAGAAGTCTATGTCATCTCTACCCCACCACTATAATTACCTGTTCAGGCCTTCCCATAACATTAGCCCTAGTTCTCTCTGTTGGACTGGCTGCAGCGGCCCACCAGAAATGGGTGTTCTGGAAAAGACTTTTGCTAGCAGTGTTATACCTCCTACTCGTGGGAATCATGGTAAGTCTAAAAATGTGTAAATTGGCTAACTGGGGCTGCCTCCTCCCCATGCGGTTAGTCACCCTGTTAATCCTCTTACCCCTGGGTCTTGGGCTTTGACCAGAGGTAAATGGCAACTCCTCTCCCCCTTGCCTCACATGGTACAACGGGCTGTCCAACAGACCACGGTCTACCTACAGCTGGGATCCTACCTATTAATGCTTTGCCATGTAAAAGGAATTAATACTCCCATTATTATCCCAGGGCTCCCAACCTAATTGGTGTTTGTACACCAGGGAAAAGGCGACAAGGCCTGCCTTAATCTCACAACAATCCAACAATGCCAGAACCGAAATACACTTTACTTTGTAGGAAAAAACAGGGGGAACCATGATTGTTACACATGCCTCCCGCAGGAAAATGCGTATGTTACTAAAGCCTTAGTATGTGCTCCATGATGGAGGAGGCAGATGTGCTACAGAAACTCGAGCTGTCATCTAAGACACAAAACAAAAACTCAAACCCCAGACTGCCCCCCCCAAAAAAAATCCGGTTGAGACTCCCTATACCCCAAAGAGACTGTCGACTCAACCTGAGAGTTATTACACTCATTAACACAACTCATGCTCTCCTGTCTCAGGTGAAGCCCCAGCTGGCATCCAGCTGCTGGCTTTGCATCCGAACAGCCCTTCTCCGCATATATGCCACTCCAGTCTACCCTACGAATGAACGATATCCCAATAGTTAATCTGACCTCTGTACAGGAAGGACCAATCTCCCAAGTACATCTCTCCTCCAAGCCTCAGGGCTGCTTTACAAGTCAAGGTTCCATTGAGGTAGGTAATATGTCCTGCACCCACATGTTTCCTGAAATTAGGACTACACTTTGCTCTCAATACCTGGTGTTCCATCTCGTGTGTGGACCCTATGCTTACCAGTGCCTCCCGGCAAACTGGTCTGGAACCTGTACCTGAGCAATTCTCACCCTCCAAATAGACATCCTAGAGGGGAGTGAGACAGTCGATGTTCCCCTGGCAAAACTCTACACATTAGAGTTCGTAGGGCTGTACAATTCATTCCTCTCCTTGTTGGATTAGGAATGGTAGCTGGGGTGTGAAATGGTGTTGGAGGAATAGCACTTTCTGCTACCCACTACCAGTAGCTGTCTACTGCTATGGTAGATGGATTTGAACCAATAGCAAAAATTGTTGAAACCCTACAAGTTCAAGTAGACTCCCTAGTTGATGTTGTCCTACAAAACCGTAGAGGGCTAGTTTCCTGACTGCTGACAAAGGTGGACTCTGTCTATTTCTGGGAGAAGAATGCTGCTTCTATGCCAATAAATCAGGAGTGGTCCGAGACATAGCCAAACAGCTTAAAGATTTGGACCCTAAGCAGAGGCCAGCAGCAGCTGACTCTTGGATGGGCTGGAATGGACTATGGACTTTAGTGCCATGGTTATTGCCTCTTCTGGGACCTCTAACAGCTATTTTTCTAATCTTGTCTTTTGCACCCTGTGTCTCAAGCTTTCTCAGGGAACACGTATCCACCATCGCTCCAGTGGCAATTAATCAGATGCTCCTGCACCCCTACGCACCCCTTCCTCAAGACCCTCGACTAGAGGGCGCCAAATCCACGCTCCTTACAGCCTGAAGCAGCCAGAGAGGTCGTCACCCCTTATCCTTTGAAGGTCGGAATGTAAGGTCTGGGGGAAGGGAAAAGAAACATGGCGGCAACATTCCCGCCGGCAGAACTTTCCTGTTTTCTGCATCTGGCCCGCCATCATCAATGGACTTTCACGCCTGCCCTTTAGCATTTGGCGCTCCTGCCAAAGTTGAACAGAAATGGCGATCTTCATTGGCCAGATAAGGATCCGTGGTGACCACCTGTTGGACAATGGCCCTTTAGGAATAAGCAGCACCCACTCTGGGTGTGACTCCCTCGGCCTCTGACCAGACTGAAGGACCTCACCTGAGAGCTTTTTTGCAGAATAAATTTTATTGGTTTTATTAAACCTCAAAGCCTGACTCTGGTATTTTCGTCTTTGTGGCCCTGACTTCGCTGCCACTCCCAAATCAAACCTAACATTGTGCATATTCAAAATCCACTTTTAATGGTTAATTTGAAATATGTGTTGGATCATTACCAGCTTTCTTCATTTAATTGTTTTACAGAGTCTTACAGCTCATTCTACTTATTTACATGTGCTCTTAAATTTTTTTTTTATTAGATTTTTGATATAGGGGATGTGTACTTGTGGGAGAGACAGACAGAAAGTGAGAAATCACCCCCAAGTGAGAGAGGTGGGAGGATGGCCATGCACAATCCCTTCTCCTCCATTATCCTCTAGGGATTTGGGGCATGCACACATGTACACACTCCTGGCATGAATTTCAAGCTATCATGTTCAGGACATGAACTACAGTTGGCCAGATGGGAATCCAACACCTTAACCACCACACCACCTGTTGGCCCCACACTCTTATAATGTCTGTTAATTTCCCCCATTTCTTCTATTCTCCCCCCTTTCCAGCTTCTGGTATCTACCCTCACACTCTGTTTCTATGCAATCATATCTTACCACCTCTGCTAATGACTGAAAACATAACGGTATTTGACTTTCAGTGCCTGGTTTATTTCACTTAGGATTATTTTCTCCAGACTCCATTTTCCCTCAAAATACAATCATCTTGATTTAATGAACTTGCTGAATAGCATCCCCATAACTTTTATTTATTTATTTATTTTTTGGAGAGGTTTTTGCTATAGGGTGCTCGCCAGACAGACAGAGAGAGACAGAGAGACAGAAAGCGAGAAATCACCCCCCGGGGGGGATGGCCACACCACAATCCCTTCTCCTCCGTTCTCCTCTTGGGATCTTGGGCATGTACGCACACGCGCCCGGCGTGAGTTTTAAGCCACCGGGTCTGGGACGCGAACTGTGGTCGACTACGTGGGAGTCCAGCGACATAGCCATTACGCTAACTGCTGGTCCCAGCCATACATTTTTAAAAGTGAATTTGCTATTGAGAAATAATTTGTGTACAGTGAAATGGAGAGATTTTGAATGTATAGGTCATTGAGTTTTGCCAAATGTGTATTTCAGTACTCTGAACAGGTTCAGCTCTACTATGGCCTGAATGTGTATGCCTCTAAAATTCACGTTGAAACTTAATCCCCATTTAGATGATATTAAAAGGCAGTAGTCTTCTGGGACTTGATTAAATCAGAAGGGTGGAGCCCTCATTTGATGGGATTAGAGCTGGCTGTTTTAAAAGAGGCTAAAGAGCTTCCTTATGTCTTCTATCATGTAAGAACTCAGCAAGAAGACATCATCCCACAGAGAGCGGCCCTCACTAGACAGATCTGCTGATGTCTTGATCTGGGATTTCCCAGCCTCCAGAACTATCAACAATACATTTCTGTTGTTTATAAATTACCCAGTCTAAGGTATTTTTTTTACAGTAGCCTGAACTATCACCTTTCCAGCAAATCAGCACCCCCACTCCACTAAAACCAACCACTTATCTCTTTTTTATTATTGTAAATTAGTTTTGCTTGTTTTTGATTTTCATGTAAATGAGATCACACTCTTTTTTGGTCTGGTTTATTTTGTTTAATGTAATATTGAAACTGACTCATATTTTTGTGTACATTGATAGCTTATTTTTTTGTTTTTGCTGTGATGTAGTTAGTATTTCCTTTTATACATTTACCAAAAGTGTGCTTTTCCATTCTTCTGCTAATGGGTATTTTGGCTTTTCCAGGTTTTGGTAATTATAAAGGAATCTAGTAAAATCATGATCAAATTATCCTTTTTGTGGCCATATGTTCTCATTTCCCTTCAGTGAAATCCTAGAAGCAAAATTGTTGGATTATAGGATAAGTCTATGTCTATCTTTATAAAAAAAACTATGAGGCAGTTTTCCTACCTGATACTCATTTCATTTTATACCCTCACAGGCAATATATGAGAATTCCATTTACTCTACACCCTGTCAATACTTGGTTCGGCCTATGTTTTTAATTTTTATCTTTTTAATTTTGGGGAGGAAGTATCTCATTATGGTTTTGATTCACATATCTCTGAAGACTAATGACATTAAACCCTTTTTTCCTGTATTGCTTAGTCATTCATACATCTTCTCTTGTGAAGTGTCTGTTTCAATATCTGGCATATTTTCTATGTTTAATTATATATTTTTGTTTCTTAATCCTTGTCAGATACGATCTTTTGAATACAAGTTCTTTGTCAGATAAATGGATTGGAATATTTTCTCCCAGTCTGTGGCTAGCCTATTCAGATTTTTAGTATGTCTTTGACATGAGCAGAAAATTTTAATTTTGATGAAGGGCAGTAATACCAGTTTCTTGTTTTATAGATAATTCTTTTCATGTTTTGTCTAAATCACCTTTGCCTATCCCAAGGTTGTGAAGAAAATTCTGATTTTTCTAGAAACTTAATAGTGTTAGCTTTTAAGTCTATGATACATCCTGAATTAATTTCTGAGTATGGTATGAGCTCGGAGTCAAAGTTCACTTTATTCCATATGGCTGTTCAGTTGTTACTAGCTTCCTTACTTGAAAGCATTTCTCTCTCCATTGAAGTACTTTGGCATCTTTGTTGTAAACGAACTAAGTGTGGTTCTCTTTCTGGACTTTATTCTGATCTTTTGACCTACTTGTATATTCTGTTACCCTCGCTATACTCTCTTGATTAAGAATTTTATCATGTTTTAGTTCTCTTCCTCTTATTGTGGTGACTTTTGCCCCTTGCAGGTATTAGGTTCAGAGTTTATTTTTGAAGTTAGTATCATTTCCAACCTGCTCTGGATCTGAAACTGTTCATCTATAAAGTAGGAAAAATAAGTCCCTTTTAAGGTTGTTGGGAGAAATAACCTAATCTAAAATACACATAAAAAGTATATTATAATCTTTTTTTCTTTTGGAGAGATTTTTTGCTGTAGGGCGCATGCACTTACCAGAAAGACAGAGAGACAGAAAGCTAGAAATCACCCCTTGGGGGTATTTGGCCATGCAGCATTCCTTTCTCTTCCATTCTCTTCTGGGGGTCCTGGGCATGCACGCACATGCACCCAGCTAGAGTTTAAGCCACTGGTCGGAGACTCTAACCGCTGTCGACTACGTGGGAGTCCATAATAGCCATTATGCCAACTGCTGGTCTCAGAAGTATATTATAATCTAAAATAACATTTGCATGTTTAGAATGTTGCTTATTTTTATTTCACTCTTTGCTTCTCTTAATCTTAAGACATCTGCTCACAGACGTTTACTGAAATCCCAATGTAAAGTCTTCACCCTTCCGTTCAGACTGCTGGTACACCTATTTCTGTGGTTTAGAAAAAAACGAAGGTCAGAGTTAACTGAAAGGAGCAGACACTTGTTTTCATCCCATTTACAGGAAACCTAGCCGAATGGTGATGACAATCCTATATAATACCACTCCTTTGTAGGGACTTCTGGATTTCCAGTGTTTTGTTCTTCCAGATATTTCTGATTCAATTTCTCTAACAGGCAGCTTTGTTTTCTTTATTATGGCTGCTACTGTTTGTTGTAGGACCTTTACTCTCCCCATCTGGAATCAATGACCTCTTAAATTCTTTTAATATCTACTAGGGAATTATTTGTCCTGAAACTTGGGTCAAGTTTCTTTGAAAGATTTTATTCTAAGATTAAAATAATGGTGAGAAGAAGGGTCAAAATCGGAACCTTTCCTTTCATCGAAACCAAAACAAGACATATAATAACACTTTCTCTTTTTTCAGTCATCAAAGGCATGTAATAAAGACGAAAGTGTCAGTTCTCTCATAGCCTTTTTCCTGTTACTGCCCTACTTTATATTCCAATTATCATTCAATTTATTAAATTTAACTCTTCCACAAGTTTAAAGGTGACTTTTTTATTTTTTAGCTTTACGTTTACTAGATTGTAAACTCCTTGAAAACAAGGATTTGATGTTATCTTTGTTTCAGATTTTAGCATCAAACCAACTACTTGGCTTTCACTTAATAAGTGTTTATTAAATTAAATTTATTATAGTCAAATAGTGCTACTGTAGCAAAAATAGTGTCCTATGCATAAAAGATAGTCAATTTATTGTTCTTGATTTACGGGTAGCAGGAACTTGGGTTTTCTTCATTAATGAATAGTTTGAACACATTTTATAATTGGAGCTTTAGAATAATCAGGTGTGCCTTTCTTATCAAAAACATTCTAGAACAATTCCAATTTATTTTCTGTTGATCAATTTATTGAAATAATAGCTCTCTTGCATTTCTTTTTCTTGTAATGTTATATCCATAAGTTTTGGGCTATATCACCCCATGATACGTGAAGAATCTTTCAAATGTTCACATTACTGAGAGAATTCACAAGAGCTTGATCTCATCTGAAATCCTGTCCTGTTCCAATTAGTGTAACAGCTATGTTCCAGTCTTCTTTACTGCGATAGGTGAGTAATAGTTTTCAAAAGATACAAACACAGAAATGAAGAACTAATGTCTTATGAAACTAGATTTTCCAGTTTTCCTATGTTAGGTTTATGTAGAAATTGATTTCAGCCCCGCTTGTAATTCATTTCTGTTTTCTAGAGCAAACTGATAGATCTTCCTGTTTAGGTAGCATATGGACTTATCAATCAAACCTCAAAAGCTAGTCCTGGGTGTTAGGACTGACCCAAAGTAGCAAATTGGGACAAAGAAAAGGAAAAAACATACAAGGTGTCTTCAAAAAGTTCATGAAAATGCATATTATGAAGAAAGTGCATCGGCTTCAAAAATGCGTTGTACTAAAATACTTGTACCTTAATTCCATTTTTCCGTGAGCATTTTGAAGTACCGTTAGATAGCTACAGGCAGTAGCTATTTGTAAGACATGTCATAATGAGAGAAGTAAAATAGATTGAAAACACACTTTCTTTAAAACCTTGTAGATAAGCCCATGGGTGATAGATCCATAAAAGTGTGGTGATGGTGGAGACCAGGAAACTTGGAAATACACTGATGTTGGGATAATTTATGCCTTTCTAAAGCACTTCTCCAAATGCTCTTGTAAAAACACACTAAGCTGATTGTGTAACAAGTTGAACCAGTATCATTTCCGGCAACTCTGCTTTGCACACTGGATGTGAGGGAACACCATGACAAAGCAAGTCGCCTGGTGCCCTGGTTTTGGAACTCTCTGGTGATTTTTTTTCTTTTCCAAGCGTTACATTCAGGCTGTGCCAGTCTTTTTAGCAAGGCTTTCCCCTGGTGCAGGGAAGGTGAAGTTTAAGAGAGCTAATTTTGCCAATGACTTCTAATAGCATTTTCCCCCTAGAGAATGAAATTTTCTATGAAGTTTTCTCATCTAAAGCTTTCAAAATTTGGCATGAAGCTCTTTTTCATTGTTTCCAGCGAAATAAAAGTTCGGCGTCTTTTCTCCCTTTCCACATCCTGAGACGTGTGAGGAGATCGAGTTCTATACCATCGCTGACGTCCTGTCCCCGCCTCAACAGGAGGACCTGGCCCGAGGGGAACCAGTGGGCGGGGATTACTCCGGGAGAGGAAGGTCAGGCGTTTAGGGGAGGGGCTTGGCAAGGAACCCGGCCTTAGGCGCAGGAGAGTTAATGAATAGGAAATTGGGGAGAGCGGGCGGCGCCAGAGCCCTGCCCGCGCGGTGCAAGTTCCCGCAAAGCCAGCGACCTAGCCGCACCGGGC